ACCTCTCTACTCCGTAGGCTAGGTTCCTTCTTAGTTCTGAGGTAGCTATCGAATGCTATCGAATGCTATCAAATGCTATCAAATGCTATTATTACAGTATCTTCAGGCCGGAGTGGGTCATAGAAGACTAGGTAGGTATGTACTATTAAAACTAAATGAGGTACCCCGTAGTGATTAATAGCCTTACAAAGTATTCGTACTCCGTAAGGTACTTAAGGCAGAAAAACCTGGATGATTTTTAATGCAAAAGCCACGAACAGCTGCATCTTTTCTGTTGTCAACTTCCATGTCACCCTCAATGGAAGTTCTCAGGTTCTGTCTGTATTGTATCTACCTGTAATAATATTTCTGAAGTACCTTATAAGGAAGAGCCAAAACCATGGTAAGATTCTCCTACCTAGGTACCTTAGGTCAGGTAAGTAAGGTACGGAGTACGGAGTAGCGGATAGACAGATCATAGGATTTCTGCTCCAGAGTAGATAGGGGATTCGTTTATCACAGGACCGGGTACCTTGGATATTAATAGGAATCATGGTATCCATTCGTGCCTAAGGTACGGAGCAGGTCCTTCACTTCTTCTATCTAAATATTATACCTACCTTACTTTCAATTCTGATGAGTGATGAATCGAGGTTAAGAACTAACTATCTATTAGCCTATTAGGTAGTCTAAGGTATTAATGTTTTTCTGGTTTCCCGCCTCCCTCTCTTTCCTTGTCCATCCACGATTTATTGACCATTTCTCTTGCTGTTGATTGTGTTCGTTTTTCCCCTGTTGACTATTTATTTGTTTCCCCAATTTTTGATCACCCGCTCACTTCTCTCTGTCATCCCCTTCTCACTTCTAATTCTGCCACTCAAGAGATCATCATCATCATCAGCATCATCATCATCATCATCATAATTTTTTATCGCAAATTCCACGCAACAACAATTGTCTGACTCTCAAACCATAATCTACTTCAAGAGCCCCGCTGGTGATTCATTTGAGGGTCCTAGTCAGAGACACTATCGATTTCGCTCGGTGTGCCAGTCTACCAGAAGCTTCCCTTTGCTCTTTTCGTGCGCTTGCAGTCAGCATTCTCCCTACCCCTTAATGTGTTCAGTCCGCCCACAACAGATTTTCCTCTGAGAGTGCATAGCCTGGTAACCGCTCCGTCTTCATTCTTTGGCGTTTTCTCGACATAAGCCCCACCTGCATCGGAATCTGAGTGGTTTCGAAAGGCCCAGAATCGCCCCTCCACAATCACCCGTTGCCTTGTTTACGGAAAGCGAGGAGCAACCCAAGAGGATAATTGCTGGGACTGCCTTGTCTGCGGGACTTTCCGTCTAGCTTGTCGGTTCCTTGTTGGGAATAAGTGGTCGACCTTCACAAATCTGTGACCGTCGGTCCATCTGTTCAGATGCCAATTAAGCTCCCTAAGGGCTTTACCCGGCGAAAGTCGTCTGGAAATGCTCTTGAGGAGGTGGAGAATCCTCCTCAGCCATCCTTTCGAGTCTTTGAACGCCCATCTGCGGACCGAAAATCCTTAAGTGATGGGAATATTCTTTCCAAGAGATCAAGTGGAGGTCAAGTTCTTTACACTCCCTCAGAGGAGGATGACAATATTTTCGCTGGAACTGAGAATTTACCACCAAAGCATCGGTACAGTGCCCTTTTCCAATCTTGAGCGGATTAGTCGAAACACTGGCATGGCTACTAACTTGTGGATTCAACTATACTAGCAGCAATCCTGGAGGATCATCAGAAAGTTCTTCCTCAATTCGATTCAGCTCATCATCGGCGCAGCGCTCTTTGACAGACATACCACTTCAATCCGACGCCCAATCGCCGCACTCGCGAAACCTCCACGATATACCCATTCCCCCTATATCTGGTGCACTACGCGCAGCGGGGAGAACCTTCTCTTTTGGGGGAAGACTCTCAAAGGCCTCGCCTTCAATCCCTCCCGCTCGACAGTCCACTTCCGGGCCGTCCAGAAACAGGGCGATGACGTCCAGTACAGCCAGCACCGCAACACCACCGAAGCTGTTAGACGAGCTGAACGCTGGTCAGCTTGGGGATGAATTCAAAAGCATGTTTGACGACATCGGGAAGCGGGATAGCGCACACATTTCCGAGTCGACATCTCACGGGAAAGCGTTAGACATGGTACGAGCCACTCTGTTTGCTCTCAGCTCTCGTCTTTCTCTGACCGGGTCAATGTTAATAACCTTTGGTAGTTGCCATCTGCGAACCCTTCACCCACGGCTTCCCGAAAGGAAGAAAAAGTATCGCGTCCGGCCCCTATCAATACGAATGTGCCGAAGGAAATAGAACCTTCCCCTTACTCCTGGGACAGTCGACATTCCGGAGAGGGCCTTCTCAACGCTACGCAATCGCCCGCGGAGGATTCCCCGATCGGTCAGCCAGGTGTGCCGAATTCTAGCTCTATATTTCCTGAAGGGCGGCGGAAATCTCTTCCGCTGGCCACTGCTACGACTTCCCACCGTTCTCTGATCAAGCCCCAGGCGGGAGGAGACAAAGGACTAAGGAGGAGTGTCGTTTACTCTGCGAAACGAAATTCCACGCCCGTCGAAGATGAAGACGCTAAATTAATCATGGAGTCCCTTTATTCTAGTAAAAGCGGGGTGCACTTTGCGTCGATGTCGGACCATGAGGGCTCGGACCACGAGCATCACGCACCCCTCATTGCTCACTTAAACACGCCCGCAGGCATGGATTCGCCCAGACTTTCAAAGTCACCCGCAGAAATACGACGTCAATTCCCTCCAGTGGGCGAGAGCCAACTTGACCCTTCCATTGCCGCGCACGCGCTACTGGCTGCCCAGTACGAGCAAAGCCAGCCCAAACCCGGCACATCGACGAATAAAGTCATGACGCCTTCGCAATTTGAGCATTATCGGCAGCAGCAAGAGCTCAGGAGGTCGAACAGTGACGCTTCCAAGAGTGAAGACTCCGCCGAGAGTGATTTCGATGAAGAAGATGAGGCAGAGAAGAACCGAGAAGCTGAAAGGCAGCGACGGAAGCAGGAAGCTCATCTGACTGTATATCGACAGCAGATGATGAAAGTCACAGGCCAACAGTCTCCCGCACCGTCCCTTCGACCGGAACTGGACCACGCCAGCAATAGTACGCCGAATCTAACGATTCATGCACCAAATTCTGGCAACAGATCGGGCAGCGGGAAGAGCAGCGAGGGTGACGAGGACGAGGACATCCCGCTGGGGATCCTTGCTGCACACGGTTTTCCAAATAGAAATCGTCCCCCCAGTCGCTTGGTGCCTTCAAGTTCCATTCCGAATCTTCGGGCCTCGTTCCATCAGCCTTACGTGCCATCTCCAGGCTCCGTCGCTGGAGACAATGATTTGACTAATCGCACCAGCTTACCTGTCTTTGCTCGAAACCTTCCTCGGGATCCATACTATGGGGCAAGCTTAGTCAATCCCGCGAACAGGGAGTCCTTGGCTTTTGGAGGGGGTGCATCGGTGCATGGGGGCCCCTCGGCCTCGGCTGCATTGCCCCCGGGTGGCTTAGTGGGCGTCATCGCCACGGAAGAGCGAGCAAGAGCAATGAGACGAGGGAGTCCAAATACTCAAGCCGTATATGAGTTCCAGAACGGAATGGGAGCATCAGGGGCAGCCAACCTATCGGGTGGCGTCCCAAGACCTTACACGATGATGGGTATGAATCCCCCGAATCTTCAGTCGGGGCTCTCTGCTACAGAACAGGCGCAGGTCCAATTGTCACAACAAATGTCGCAAATGATGCAGGTGCAGATGCAATGGATGCAGCAAATGATTTCAATGCAGGGAGGTCAGACTCCGCCGCCGCAACCACTGATGTCACCCATGGGCTTTCCGCCATCGTTGTCTGCCAATGCGAATTTGAGGCCGGCTTCCATGCCTACAGCAGGACCTCTCAATCCGGCGCCCCCTGCCTTCAATGACCAAAGAACTCTTAGTATGCTTGACCCGAATGTTTCCTCTCGTCTCAATGGCCCGGCGATGCCCTACCTTCCTGCTGGCAACCGACCGGGCACACCAGTAGGTCAAGGTTATGCACCGTCTATTGCGCCATCGGAACGCAGCAATGTCGGCATGGCACCTCGATATCGGCCTGTGTCGACGTTACAACTTGACCAAGGATCTGCAGCCTATCCCTCGATGGCCAGACAATGGAATGACGAAAACCAGAGAGCTGCTTCCCCAGCTAGACCGCTCGCGATGAAAAGTCCGTCGATGCCAACTGTGACTGTCCGTCCCGTCTCCACCGACGGAAGACCGCACAATGAAAGAAAGAACGCTGCGCTAGACGACGAGGATGATGATGAAGGGTGGGCCGAATTGATGAAGAAACGCGAAAAGAAGAAAAGCAATTGGAGAATTAAGAAAGAAACATCGAGTCTCGGAGACTTACTGAATGTGGTGCATTGATGCCCTTACTCGGCGCTAAATTTTCGGCCTCGTCACGATACTCTCTGCATAAGCAGACACATACGCATACTCTATTACCTTGACTTACAATCCTTGCCCTGAACACACTGGTGTTGTTATTTCATACGGCCGAGATATCCAAAAAAGCGGTTGGATGCTCCTTTTACTTTTGTCTTTTGGACCCAAATGTCCCTCGAATATTAATTGGCGCGTTTACGATACAGCATTGAAGATCGACATTGCATCATGACAACTTTTTTCTATCCATTTATCCGTTGTCCTTCTCCATTCTTTGAGCAAATGAAGGGTTTTCTTGTGGCTGGTGTTTTGAGGGAGCAATGGTATATGATCGCTATTCAGCAAGGGTTGTGAAATCCTCTGTATCAAAGCAATCAGCAAATGTATCTACTCTTGTATCTGTAATCGAATACTAGTAATATACTGGGCATGGCGTTAGAGGAACTGCTGCTCCCAAACATTTGATTGCATTTCAATCGCATCTTTGTGCATCCTGTCAGTAAAATATGCCGAGCAATTCGCAAGATTCCTGGTTTACGCAGTGCTTCAATCTACCGAAATTCCCCGAATCACATCTCTTGCTTCACACAAGGTCTTCTCCACAATTGTGGACGCAGGCAGGATTTCTCGCACCAGGCCGACACCAGTACCAGCATACGTTGTAAGTCTCCCCTTGGGTCCCCAACCGGCATCGCCTTTCTTCAACTCTTCTTCGTACAAACTCTTATTCTCCTCATCACTCATTCCCCGCTCCACAGCATCGACATAACTCTCGTTGATGATACCGCGCCCGTCGTATCGACGGGGCCAGCCCCCGATACCCCTCACTCGATCATATACCGTCGACCTGATGGTGTTGAGACCGCCATCAGATGCTCGCAATATCTCCTTCTGATATCCGTGAGCTATATTCGCTTCTTCAGACGCCAGGAAGCGAGTACCCATGGCAGCGCCGACAGCCCCCAGTGCCAAAGCCGCTGCCAGCCCTCGTCCATCAACGATTCCTCCCGCAGCCATGATGGCTATGTGAGTCAAGTCTCGCTCCCGTAAAGCATCTTGAATCTCAGGTATCAAAGTCAAAACTGAGGCCGAATGAGCTAGACCATGACCCCCCGCATCAGAACCTTGGACGACCAAAGCGTCTGGTTGAAGAACCTCGGCAACGGCGATCGCCTCATCCACGGCACCAACTTGCACCCAGATCTTGGTCCGGCCAGAGGTCACGCCACGCACCTCCTTCACCCAGGGCACTAGGTCGTCCGGTTGATTCTCTGGACCAAATAACCACACAGCGCATGGCATGTACTTCTGGATAGCGGCAATAGAGACTTTGAGATCGGCACCCCAGTTGATGAAGCCGACCCCAATGGGGAGCACACCCGTTTCCTCGTGTATTTGCTGTACCATACCGCCTGATTGCTTCACCAGACGGATGGCGACTTCCAGGTTATGATCCAAGCTCGACACATCAAATCCAGCAGCAAGAAATCCGAGTCCACCAGCGGAGGAGACAGATACCGCCAGCGGGGGCATGGCAATGTTCAGCATTGGAGCCGAGACCAGAAGGGGACTCTTTGTCCAAGGGTAGGTTGATTTCAATATAGTTCTCAGCGACATGATCTCGATGCTATGTGATGTCCAGGTCTCGGAGTCCTCGAGAATAACTTAGAGAGATAGATAACGGATCTTAGACTAGAATGAGGATGCATGACAGTTTATATCAGTGTAAGATAACTGTACTCAGCTTGCGGATCGTTTCTACCCGCCATCCCGATGCCGTTGAACATCACTTTGGGTTGTAATCCAATCGGTATAATCTTGATTCTCCGCAAGGGAGACTACCTGGGATTATTTACTTCCCTTGAGTCATTGGGTTTGTTAAGTCAATCGGATATGGTCGGGCCGCGGGGACACTTCTGTGATCGATACCCGTAGTATCACGTGCCTAGAATCACGGGACTCTTGAAGGCGGTAGATAATGAATTATTGAATCCGATAAAAGCATCCCGATAGTAGAACTAATCTAGCCTGACCTTCTTAATTGCTTCACTCTTCCATCAATATCTCCATCTTGCTCTAGAAGCTCACAACCCTCTAATAACCCCCTTCGCTGCTTTGTATAAAGGATCACCCCCTCATACACTTGATCTATCAGGCTTGTAAGTTCTCTGATGTCCTTCCAGGTTGTTGCCGTTAAGGGTCTTGCCTCTGGGCGTTCTTATTGGTCATTTCGCTGATATCGTCTGGAAGATCAATCTATTTTGGTGTCGTTTCTTTTTTGGATATTGGAGGTCAGTTTCGATCGATGTTTCCGAGACGAACAGGGGAATCTTACAAAGAACAGCTACCTCTGTTGGTTCTCATTCATTTCAATTCGTCGATCATCACTTCTGTTTGTTCCTCCTTAGGCGTCGAGTCTTCTGTCCTTGGGAATCCTGGGACTTGTGCGAGCAAGTTTGAAACAGCTTGACTTGTCATTCCGCCAAGATGAACGCGCCAGATCGGTAAGCAAGATCATTTGCACTGTCTATGGAAAACGCATCTTCATTTTGATGTCTTGACTGCCTTCTTTATCCTTGTCCTGTCTTTGGGTAGGAGATCTACCTCGGACTGGCAACCAAAGCGATGGAGGGGTTGTCCCTTACCGAAAGTGGAAATGGAGGACGTTGTCTTCACTATGTGCAGCGCTGGGACAAGGTTCCCAGCTTGGTGGTCGGCGCTCTGGGCGACGCAACCACCCACCTTCCTCATGCTTGAGCCTACCATCATCAACACAACTTCTGTTCACAACCATTTCCCTCTTGACCCGACTGTGAACTGTTCTCTTCATTTGCCCACCACCCTATTGTTTCTACATCTTGGCCTCTGCTCTTGTACTTTGAAAGAGTCCTGTCGCCATGAGTCCAAAGAAACCATTCATGCTCCCCAACGAGATGGCGTATGCCCGTTGGGTCCATGCTACTGGTAGTTCCCGTAATAACAATGGCTGCCACTCCTCCATTAACTTGGACAATGACCAGCCGCACAGGTGCTCACTCATATCCCATTCACGTGCCTCAAGATATTTTGCAGAGTCAACGAGCATTGGATATTCAAGCTGACCCTGTGGCTTTTTTTGTTAAAAATAGTTTCGAGTCTTTCGTTCTAGCTCCCGGAGAGGAGAAAGTCGAGGTTGAGACCGATACTCGTGAGTCCTTCAATCAAACTTCGTCGTGCGGATCAATGACGGCCGATCTAATGCATCAACTCAGGCATTCCATCTTCCTCGATTTTCACTTTCAACAAAGAGGACCACACGCTCGGCAACCTCCTCCGCTCCCGTCTTCTGCAGAATTCCCATGTGATCTTTGCTGGTTATAAGGTATGTCCGTCTTGGAAGCCGTGTTTTTCCTCAAATTTAGTTGAGATCTGGAGGGCTCTCCTTTCGAGCTCTGGGATACATAATTCTGACGAACTGTGTCAGGTCCCCCATCCTCTAGTTCCCAAGTTTGAACTCCGCGTTCAGACGGATGGTGAGGTCACTCCTAAGGATGCTCTGCTCGCCGCCTGTCATGACCTTGTCAGGGATCTGGGCATCCTTTCCCGCGAATTCACCAAAGAATACGAGCTGCGTAAAATGGTCGGAGCTTCTCAGCAGCAGCAGAATGGTACTGCAGAAGGTGCTTAGAATACAGGCTGCGATACTGGCGAATCCGTGCTGGTTTGCATTTTTGTGGACTTTGGCGCATCTGGTTTATGCGAATCACCTGTACATCAAAACCTGGCCATCTGCCATATTTTCTGTGCATTGTCCTTACACGGGCTTGATGGTATCGCAAGTTTGCACGTTACACGAGATGATTGACCGAGTTGCTCAAAATTTGGGCTTGTTTTTCGGAGGAGCTTCTACGCTACGAGTTCATCATGATAATGAGGGATGTTGGTTGCTGTCGCTAATGATAACATCCAATGGAATGACTTTATGCAACTACAAGCAGCAGTCGAGGCTTTAATACTACCTAGAGGTTCAAGATCACAATTCAGAATGCATTTGGGATTGGAATATCTCCAAATTGTGATGTGCAATATACTGTGTATGTACTTACTGTATACTTTTGGATCACGAGGGGTTGGAGCCTGGATTCCCGGAAATTGAGGCTCCACCGTCCCCTTTTGGGCTAGCGCCGACATTGCCTCCGCGTCCCTAAACATCCAGCGGCGTCACCACAGTAGCTCCTCCTGAATCCCTGGATCGTCTAGTTTCTTTCGTTCACCTGATTCTTTCCCTTTAGTTTCCTTGTTGCTTAATTGTGATTTGATCTCTGTATCTTCTCGACCTGCGCTATCTAACTACTTTCCCACTCCTGATGCGAGCGTTGTGATGTACTCTTCGTCGAACTCCTTCTTGGGCGGCGCCAACAGCGCCCGCCCAGGACAGCCGCCTTTCATGCAGCAACCTCAATACTCGCAATTCCCTCAGGGCCAGCAACAAATACCGCAACAGACTGGCTTTCAACCACAGCCCACCGGGTATGGACTTCAATCGGCCTCTCAGCTGCAGCCTCAGCCAACGGGATTCCCTACTGGACAAGTGCAACCTCAGTTCACAGGCTTCCCTGGCGCAGCGCCTCAGCAGCAGCAGCAGCTTGGCGGCTATCAGGCCTCCGCGCAACAGCCGCAGTACACGGGTTATCCTCCTCAAAGCCAACCTTCGTCGCTTCAGCTTCCTTCGACCACCGGTCTGCCCACTCGACCTGCTCCCAGGACGTCTTCGGAGATAGCCAACTCGTTTAGCGATGGTGCTAGCGTGGCGCCTCCTCCGCCACCCAAGTCTTCGGGGAGCAGAATCCCTAACATACGGCTGTCGTTCATCACTGCGCAAGACCAGGCCAAGTTTGAACAACTTTTCAAGTCCGCGGTGGGAGACAGTCAGACAATGGATGGTTGGTAGTCCTCGAGTGTCATGGCGTTGATGGAGAAATGACTTGCTGATAGTCACATGCAGGGGAAAAAGCTAAGGAGCTACTTCTACGTTCGAGACTTGCCGGCAGTGAGTTGTCGAAAATATGGTGTGTAAAATGCCAATGGTCCCGAAGGATAATCGTGAAGCTAACTATTTGTTTCAGGATTCTGTCCGATACCACCAAGTCTGGGCAATTATTCTTCCCCGAATTCGCTCTAGCCATGTACCTCTGCAATCTGAGGATCACAGGTCGAGAACTTCCAGCGACTCTACCGGAGAAGATCAAAAATGAGGTGTCAAGTATGGTGGACATCATCTCGTTCGGAGTTCCCGACACGGAGCCGCAGCCCGCTGCAAGAACGAACGTTCCCAGCTTCGATGCTCCATTATTGGAGAACGTTTCTGCTCCTCCGGCTCCCCAGCATCCTAAGCCGCAGCAGCCGTCGAGTGCACAGTTTCTCTCGCAACTCACTGCGCAGCCCACAGGCTTTGGTCCTCAATCAACCGGGTTGCAGCCCAATCAAGCCTCTTTTCTTGGAGCGAACGCAGCTCTCGCACCGCAGGCTACAGGCTTTCCCGGACAGTCTCAGCAGCAGTATCTACAGCCCCAGCCAACAGGTTTAATGACGAATCCTCAAGCTACAGGCTACAGTGGTCCCCGCCCCCCGCTTCCGCCTATGCCTACCGGATTTGGCTCAAATCTTAGTCCGGCGCAGACAGGTGGATTGGTTGCTCAGCCGACTGGGATTCCTGGTCAATGGGGTTTTGTTAACGCACCGTCTTCGGGTTTGCCCAACATTGAGGCGTTGAAACAGCAACTCATGCCTCAGCCTGGTCGTGAGGGCGGGTTTACGACAGCCGGTCTCTCTGGGAATGCCAGTATTCCTTGGGCAATCACAAAGGAGGAGAAGAAAATCTACGATGATCTTTTCCGAGCTTGGGATGGCTTCCATAAGGGCTTCATAGGCGGCGACACCGCTATCGAAATCATGGGACAAAGTGGTCTGGATCGCAAAGATTTGGAGCGAATCTGGACGCTCGCGGATCCCAACAACCGAGGCCGACTGAACATGGATGAGTTCGCCGTAGCCATGCACCTGATTTACAGAAAACTCAACGGGTACCCAGTCCCGAATCGTCTGCCTCCTGAGCTCATTCCTCCGTCAACGAGAAACTTGAATGACTCGATAGGCACGGTCAAGTCTTTGCTTTCGCAGGATGCAGAGAATCGCAAAGCTTCCGGCGCGTTTTTGCAACCTCAGAAGACTGGTGTGAGTTACCTCAAGGAGCACTCATTCCGTGGCGGTGCAAGGTCTCCAGGGTTCGGCCGCAAGGATGCAACTCTCTTCAAGAATAATGACGAGGCTGCTGCTGGTTACCGGTCTAGCGCCCGTCGTCGTGTGGGTAATAATGCGCGGGCGTCATCTCCCGCTGCCTCCCAGGCGTCCGAGGAGGAGCTATCTATTGAGCAGCTGAAGAAGAAGATCCGTGAGACTCAGATCATGCTTGATGCGGTCGATTTCCAGGATGAAAATCGAGCCGAGGAGGATGAGGTTTTTGATCGCCGTGACCGTCGGGAAGCTGAAAGTCTCATGGATCGGATCCGTCGCGTTCAGGACGACATCGACACCCATCCGAATGCAGCGTTCCGTAATCTGGATAACGGCGCCGAACGAAGATCCTTGCGTCGTCAGCTCCAAGCCTTCGAGGACCAGGTTCCTCAGGTTGCATCAGAGGTCCGCCGCATTGAACGCGAGATTGCCGATGCCAAACTTGAGCTTTTCCGCTTGAAGGACGCGAAAGCACATCCAAACAGTGCTGCCAACATCGTTGGAACAGGACCCGGTGGCACCGTGACTGAGGCGGATCGTATCAAGGCCCGCGCGCGCGCAAGGATGCAGGCTCGCGCCGCCGAACTTGCTGGCAGACCAGTTCCTGCTTCCGTGGACGATGATGGAGCTGCGGCTCGCAGGTTGGAGGCTGAAAGTACCATTGTTCGGGCGGATAGAGAAAAGAACGAGGCCATGACACGTGACGTGGAGGAGAGTGTGAGGGAGTTCACTCGCAGTCTTGAAGATAGCCTCAAGGAAGGGGGTGAAACTTCGTCACGTGAACATGAACGGCGTCGGTGGGAGGATGCCTTGGGAGTCGAGGACGTCATTCGGGACTTCATTTATGACCTAAAACGAGGTAGCCGAACGGCACACATTCGTAAGGAAGGGTAAGTGACAAGGCCAAACTAAAACTGGTCGAGCTCGAAGTAACAATTGCAGGGAATCCAGGACTTCGTCCGCTCAAGAGCAGCGACTTCGGCTTGAGGAGCCATCCGTCGGTGACTCTCGGCTTTCCCCTGCGCCATCCGCTGGTTCTGCGGGTTCATTACCAGGATCCACCCACGAGGACCGAGTGGCTGCGGCTAGGGAACGTGCCCAAAAACGTATCGCGGAGCGCATGGCGGCTGCCGGTTTGAAACCACACACTGACTCATCAGAAACACTTCTGCAGCGCCAGGAGCGGGAAAAGAAGGAGCGAGAAGAGCGTCTGAGACGAGCAGAGGAGGAAGATGCGAAGAGAGAGCAAGAGAGACAACGTCGCTTGGCTGAAGAGCAGCATAGCACTTCTAACGCACCTGCCAAACCTGTGGGCAAGAAACCACCCCCAGCTCCGCCTTCACGCCGAGGCCGCACGGACAGCGCGGGCCAGGGTGATGTAAAAAAGACCGCAGAAGAAACTGTCGCTGCGGAACAGGCTATCAGGGAGGAGCAACAGGCACAAGAAGAGGAGACGAATCGCCTCGAGTAAGGACCAACCACCCACATTGTCGCATCGAGGCACATGCTAACAAGGCTCTCAATTTCCTATAGGATGGAAGCCCAGAAACGTGAGGAGGAACTCCTCAAGGAGAAAGAGGCACAAGAAGCTCGTCTCCGTGCACTGGAGGAGCAAGTCAGGCAAGGCAAGGTCCGGAAGCAAGAGGAGAAGCGTCGCAAAGAAGAAGCCGAACGGTTGGCCATGGAAAAGGAAGCCGCTCTTGCAGCTCAGCGCGCTGAGCTCGAGAGGGCCAGGGAACGAGAGCGGCAGCTTCAGCTTGAATTGGAAGGTCTGGATGAGGAGAGTTCTTCGGATGAAGAAGGGCCGGCGAACATCACGCCTCAGGACAGCACACCGACCCAGAGCCAATTACTCCCCGCAGCGACTCCTGCGGCTCCTGTTTCTGCACTGGAATCCGAACGGGCTGCCAGTCCCGAAGCCGGTTCCTCTCATGCTCCGCCTGTGAGCTTCAGCCCAGAGACAGAGTCCAAAAATCCGTACTTCAAGATAACAAACCACGCCGCTGACACACACGTGGTCTCTTCTCCACCCGTGCCTCAAACCAATGTCACTTCCCCCAAGGCTGATGTACACTCGACCAATCCCTTCCACCGTCTCGCACAGCAGGAGAGTTCCAAACCTGCTTTTACCGGATCCGCACCTCTGGAGCGCAAATCTCGTGCGCGTCCTGAAGCAGACGATGACTGGTCTGCTGCAGGGTCTGAATTCGACTCGTCTGACGATGACGATGACGAGCGGCCAGGGGGTGGTAGCGCTAAACAACTCGCGAGTATTTTGTTTGGTACTATGGCACCACCACGACCTCTGAGCGCTATGGATGACAAATCACCCTCTAAGTCGTCGACCCCGGTGCAAGACAGCTCAGTTGCCCCTCTCCCGGTGCCTGAGCCGAA